GGCACCCCGGGAAGGGAGCGCGGCCGTGCCCCGCCGCCCTCCGCTCTGCTCCCGCACGGCTGGCACCCCGCCCTGCCCCGCCAGCCCCGGGCAGGGCCGCCGCTGCCCCGCACACCTTGGGGACAGTTTTCCGTCCCGCACAGCCCCGCAGCCCCCGGGCCCGGCCGTGCCGCGCCCCCGCCCGCCGCACGCTCGGGCACGGCACGAAAGCGAACAAGGGGTGGGTCTGCCCGCCCCCGCCGCGGTCTGGGCACGGAGAACAAGAGAGCTCCTTGTGCGGGGCGGACACGGCGGGGCCGGGTCCCTGCCAGCCGCGGAGCCCGGCCACCCACCGCCGGGACCTGCGCCAGGCAGCGCGGCGGGGCCAAACGCACGGGGCACGGCTCTGCCAGCCCAGCCCAGAATAGCCCAGCGGAGCGGGCTCGGAGCGGGATTTCAAGAGTGAAGAGCTCCCAGGCTCCTGGGGTGGGCTCCCAGCAATGGTGGGAGCTGGGAGCTTCCAGCTGGGTGGGCTCCCAGAATTGTGGGTTTCCTGTGGGATCTGTGTGGTGGCACCCAAGCAATGCTGGGCACCCAGTGCTCGCGGGGCCTCAGTGCAGGTGGGCTCCAGGCTCTGGCGAATTCCAAGCCATGGTGAGCTCTGTTGCTGAGGGACTCCCAGGGTGTCACAGCTAGCCCAGGCAGTGTCCCGGAGCCCACCCAGCTGCCCAGCCAGGAATTTTCCCTTGCCAGGCCCTTCCTCAGCCTCTCCCAAAGACTCACAAACTTTTTCCAGACAGGACAGTCATCCAGCTTGGCAGGGCTGGGCCAAGCACCAGACAGTGTCCCCAGACAGGCAGGAGCAGCCTGTGCTGGGAACGCCTGGCCACTGCTGGACCCAGTCTGGCACTGCTGGAGCCAGGCTGGCACTGCTGGACCCAGACTGGCACTGCTGGACCCAGGCTGGCACTGCTGGAGCCGGGCAGCAGCCAAAGAGCTCAGCACGAGCTTCTGCTGCCACAAGTCAGCAGGGCGACAGTTAAGCCTGGTTTGGAGGCTTTAGCACTGCCCTTACACACCCACCATGGAAAGCAAGAAATGACACGGGAATCCCAGAAAAGCCTGGGTGGAGGGAAGAGGCACACCTTAGCAGGGCAGGAGAGGACTGTGATTTTATTTGCAGCAACCTGAAGTCATCTGCAAACACGGGCACTCCTCCCAAGCCCCGCTCCTGCAGAGCAGGAGCAGCTGCCGCCTGGCACAGCAGCTGTCCTGGGACACCAGCGCCAGGCCGGGCTGCCAGCACCACCGAGGGACGTCAGCACCACGGCGGCACATCAGCACAACAGAGGGCTTGTTCCAGGTCGATGGCAGCAGCCCCAGCCAAAAGCCCAGCCTGCAGGAGCCCCAGCACACGGCAAAGAGCCAGCGAAGAGCCACCGGCTCCTCCCACCTTCCTCCAAGCCCAGGGAGCTGCAAAAGGCCAATGCTGGGACTCTGCGTCCCCACAAGGTGCCCAGGTGCTGCCCCACTGCTGGAGCTGGGCCAGCCCTCTGCACTGGACCTGCCTCAGGATGCAGATGAGAGAGGCTGTGCCCAGCACCCCCCAAGCCTGGCAGGAGGAACAGAATGGGGCTGGAGGTTTCCTGGCACAGGGATGTTAATGCCCCCAACCATGCTGTGCCACCAGGTGCTGCCCTGGAGCACGGCCCAGCACTCTGCCATGCTTTGGCTGTCTTTCCTGATTCCATCCGTCTACCCCATGGGCCGTGAGGCGAGGAGAAGCAGGATCCAGACGGAGTTTGGTACTCGTGATGCTGTGGGAGGGGGGATGACTCTCTTCTGGGGAGGTGGATCCCTGTGCCAGCCGGAGGCTTGTCCCTGGCTCTTCTCCACTGCTCCAAGACAGTGATGATGATGTCCTTCTCTGCCACGCACACAGGGCTGCCAGCACCCAAACCTAGCCACGAGCAGGTGGGCACTGCCCACCCCTTCCAGGGTGGACATTTCCCAGCACGGGGACTCTGGCAGGGGCTCTGTGCAGGATCGCTGTCCCACCTCCAGTGCAGTCACTTCTTGGGGACACCTGTCCTGGCACACATCGTCCTCAGGCTCCTGGGCCCCATGGCCCACCTGGCAGGTGCCCATCACCAGCACATCAATCAGCAGAGTTCACAGGGAAAAAGCAACGTCAGTCCAGCCAGTGCCAGCAGCCATGTCCCTGTGGGGTCACCTGGCCCCATCCCATGGTCACACATGCCGTGCATGCAGCGAGGGCCCTTAGGAGATGACACAGCAGCACTTTGGGCAGCAGGAGCAGCAGCTGCAGCAGCCACATCGCCTGCCAGCCCCCTGCTCCTGGCCCTTGGCTGGCTTGTCCAGGGTCACCGTGTAGAAGGAGGCAGATGAGTCCCCGTTGGGCATCCTCAGGCTGGCGTAGGGGTTGTGGGGACGGGACCAGGACTTGTCTGTGGAGAGGGTGGGGCTGTTCCAGCCATTAGCAGGCTCCGTGTGTCCCTCCGTGCCGTAGCAGGGCACGGCTGCGGGGTTGCCGATGACGGTGGGCTCGTCTCTCAGGTAGCGAGTGATGAAGCTTTGCTGGAACTGCTCCCGTGGGATGTTGACGCTGGCGTAGGGGTTCTCCACGGTGACTCCACGATCCATCTCCCTGCCCCTCGTCACACACGTGGCCTGCCTGGCAGTGCCCACCCCTGCGGGACAGAGCCCCTGTCACCCCGGGGTGTGGGGGTGTTCTCCCAGCAGGGCAGGGGACCCCCGGCAGACCCCACTGGTTTGGGTTCGGGGTGCAGAGCTGTGCTCCCCACTCCCTGCCAGCCCCAAGGGACCCCCACAAGGCACCCATGGACCCACCAGAGGCAGGAGGGGAGGCAGAAGCGGGGGTGCAGGGGGTGAGCAGGGCACTGGGGGGGGCGGGGGGAGGGCGCGGGCAGCGGGCAGGCACTGGGGGGGGCGGGGGGATGCCGAATGGGGCACAGAGTACAGGTAGGGCAGCGGGGTGGGGCAGGGATTTCTAGGGAGACACGGAGCAGGACGGAAAACGTGGGGAAAGGAACGGGAGGAAAGGGGGTGCAGGGGAGTGGAAAGGCAGAGGGAAGATGGGATGGGGCTGAGGACGGGGCAGGCGGTGGGAGATGGGGAATCGGGCCGGGGGGCGCAGAGCAAGAAGGAGGGCAGGCAGGGGAAGGGCGCTGGGGCGGCAGGCAGGACGGGGCGCGCTGGGGCAGCGATCCCCCGGCACTCACCGAGCTGCGGCTCCGGCCGCTCTGCCCCGGCCGCGCTTCCTCCTGCACGGACCGCCCCGAGCGGCGCCGCCCCGAGCGGCCGACAGACAGACGGACCGCCCCGAGCGGCTCCCGGACAGACGGACCGGCCCCGAGCGGCCGACAGACAGACGGACCGCCCCGAGCGGCTCCCGGACAGACGGACCGCCCCGAGCGGCCGACAGACAGACGGACCGCCCCGAGCGGCTCCCGGACAGACGGACCGCCCCGAGCGGCTCCCGGACAGACGGACCGGCCCCGAGCGGCTCCCGGACAGACGGACCGGCCCGAGAGAGCGGGGTAGGAACACCCCGCGGGCAGCACCCGCCCACTGCCCAGCCCCAGCACCAACCCAGCAGCCCAGCACAAGGCAGGGGCCACAAGGGACTGGGCACTGGACAGTGGGCACTTGGCACCAGGGGCTTGGCAGTGGGCACGGACACTGGTCAGAAGGCACTGGGACCAGAACTGGACAGGAACACTTGGCACTGGACAGAGGCAGTGGGCACCAGGCAAGGCCACCAGTACTGAGGCACCAAACCAGAACCACCCCCTGGTACCAGGAGCTGGGCACCAGCACCAGCGTGGGCACTGGCACCAGCACCACACAGTGCACAGAGAGCACCACCCAGCAGGCAGTGCCACCATGCACTGTCAGCACCACCAGCACCGAGCACCGACACCAGTACAGGCACCAGCAGCAGCACTGTTGCCACTGAGCTCTGGGCAGTGGCACCAGCACTGGCACCACACTGGGCAGCGGGCAGCGGGCAGGGACTGGGAGGGAGCACTGCACTCCACAGGTCTGTGGGCACCAGCAAACCCCGAGCAGCAGGCGCAGGGCAGAGGGCACCGAGCACCATGCACATGTCCTGAGCACTGGGCAGGGGGCACCAGCTCTGCAGCCTCTGGCAGCTCCCAGGCCCCCTGCCAGGCTCTGCCTGCCCCCATGGGCACCCAGGGCCCTGCAGCCAGGGTCCCACAGCCCCTGCCAGGCTCTGCCTGCCCCCATGGGCACCCAGGGCCCTGCAGCCAGGGTCCCACAGCCCCTGCCAGGCTCTGTCTGCCCTATCCTGCCCTGAGACCTCAGTGCCAGGGCTCTGCTGGGGTCCTCATCCCTGCAGCACAGTTTGGCTGTGGTGTGACCCTGTCCCTCACAACAGGCCCTTTTCCAGGGGGGTCTCGGGGGATTTCCAGGGCACTGCTGGATGGTGACATCCACGAGGCTGGATGGAGTGAGGACGTGGCTGTGCAGGGTAAGGAGAAGGTTGCTGGCACCTGTGCCAGTCCCTGGCACCAGGAGGGCTGCAGAAGAAAAGATGCAAACATTCAGCGCTCTCCACCCTGCCCCATCCATGTCCCTCCATGTGACGCTGCTGTGACATCCTGAGCCACTGCCACTGTTCCCATCCCCAAAGCCCCCAAAGTGGCTTGTGCAGAGCCTCAACACCTTCCCACGAGAGGTTCTGTGCAGAACCTGCCCCTCCCCTGAGCCTCAGGGATGGTGGGACAGCATCCTCCTGAGGCTGGGGACAAACACCTCAAATTGCAGCTGAACCCTGCTGGGAGGGAATTACATTTCCCACACACTTTGCAAAGGCAAAAGCCACTTCCTTCTGGCTATCCTTCTGACAAGAGAAACTATTTCTCCCCTGTCCTGAGGAGCAGGGGCTGCCCAGGCCAGTCCCTTGGCACCCTGGACAAGCAGGAGAGCTCCAGAGGGCGATGGGATCCTGCGTGCCCCTGGCAGCCCTGCCCCTGGGATGAAGCTGCCAGCCCCTGCTGCTCTGCCTTCCCTCTGTGGCTGATCCCTCTGTCCCCGAGCCCGCTGGGCTGGCAGCTCCCAGAGTGTGGCATCCCAGCAGGGAGGCTCAGCAACCTTCCAGGTGGTGGAGGGAAAGGAAGATGGAGGCCTGGGATTTTTGGGGGGGAGAAGCTGACCCTCCTCTGAGCAGTTCTAGCATCGAGAGGGGGGCCTCATACACTTCTGTGCCTCAGTTTCCTCTCCAAGGACTGAGAAGGGGGTGCAGCAGAGCATGTATTGTGACAAATCAGCATCACAGCACACAGCTCTCGGGTTTGAAAGCTGCACAACTCCTGCACAGACCCCTCAGGGCTTTTCTGTCAGCCCAGGGTCACCTGGAGGAGAGCCAGCAGCACCCCCTGTCCCTGCATTGGGCTTCGCTGCTGCCCAGTTTTCCCATCTTGAGCTGTTTCCCCACAGAAAAACTCATCTGTTTGACTAAACAGGAACCGATAAAGAGGCATTCTCCACCCAGGTGTCCTGGGTAACCCAGCCCCGCCTGCCCGTGCCCGGCGTGTCCCTGCCCGCACGGGGAGGGGATGGCGCCGTGGCTCTCCCCAGCAGCCCTTTCCCCTTCCTCGCAGAGCCTCGGCACCGGCTGCGTTTCTCTTTTAGCCCCAGATTTCCATGCCCAGCCCGGCTCTGGGGGACCCTGAGAGCCTGCAGCCCCTGTGTCTGAACGGCTTCCCTCTCCCAGGGGGCTCCCACACGAAGGTCACCTCACAGAACCTCGGGTGGGGACATCCCACGCTGCTGCCCGGGCTGCAGACCCCGCCCAGCCGCTCGGAGCAGTGTCAGCCCGGATCCGAGGTGCCTCCGTGCCGGGGATGTCTCTGGGCTCTCTCAGCCTCCAGCCGTGGCAGCTCCGATCTCGCAGGCAGCTCCTGGATACCCTCATCCCCCACCTGGCAGATCTGTGGCAGCCCCAGATGAGCAGGGGTCTCACCAGCCAGGAGCAGCAACCCCTAATCTGGAGCCTGAAGTTCAAACATTTCATTTCTTGCCAAGAAATTCTCCAAACTGAGCTCCAAGGGCCACATCCAGAAATCATGTGTTGATCCTTGGAGGATTTATAGACGATGGAGGATCCTCAGGTGGAAAAGTTGCTCTTGCTGCATCGAAGCTCAGGCTGCTGGTTTGGAGCTGTCTCATGTGGGATTCCTCAAGCTGGGAGCCAGCAGGTGCTGCAGAGCTGTGCCCTGCTGGAGTAAATGGAGGAGCTGAGCTAATGTGAGGCTCTCTGTGGCTTAAAACCAGCCTAAATTCCTGTAAATGTTTCAAGGGATAAAATAAATAAACAGAAAATAAACAGAAATAAACCGAAAGCTCAATGCCCACCCTGGAGATGTCCTGTGCTGGAGGTGATGGAGAGGGAGGTTCTCAGAGACACCACACTACTTCCAGAGGAACAGTGGCTTGAGGAGGAGCCTGGGAAAACCAGGAGAGAGAGGGGGAAAGCCAACCAAGGCACTGGCTCGTGAACTTGCTGGAAGCCTGGAAATGAGGGGCCAGCCCCGTGGAGGGGAATGGGTTCCCAGCAGGGACTGCAGGTGCTGCAGGGGCAGGAGCATCCCCAGGCCTGGGACACAGGAGGAAAGTGCTGGCTCAGGAATTCCTCAATGCCACTGCATGGGCTGCATGGCAAACCAAGGCAGGGCACCCACAGCTCCTGCCCTGTGCGACCCAGCAGGAGCTACTGGGAGTTTCTGCAGGATTCCAGTAACTGCAGGGATCCCCTGGGGTGCCGTACCTTGCCGGCGCTTCACACACAGCAAAAGGCAAATTTATTTTGTAAAAAACCATCCAAACAAACCAACCAACCAACCAACCAACCAGAAAGCCACAGGCAAGTCCTGCTCCTGGGCCTCTTTCTGCTGGGGACAGGTATTTGTGCGCATCCCAGCTCCCCGCAGGGCTCTCCCAGGCACAGAACAAACACAGAGCTGCCGAAGCGCTGCCGTCCGCAGGCGCTGCCCGGGCTGCCGGGCGGTGCAGTGCCTGGCGCGGGCACCGGGGGGTGGTGATGCTCTGCGCAGCCCATCCGTGCCGGAGGATGCCGGAGAGCGACGCTTCCCTGAGAGAAAGGTTTTGCCCCCGCGGAGGGGACAGCTCGGTGAGCCCCCAGAGCAGATCGTGGCCGCTCACCAAACCTTGGCGGGGCTGAAGGCTTCGCTGAGGCTCAGGAGAGCCCGTGGGTGGTCGGTGTGAAAAAAGGACAGGGGGAGGGGTTGGGCCAGTGCAGAGATGGGAGGGCAACCCCCAGGTTCAGGCTGTGAAAGACATGGGAGATGATTCCCTTCGGGACATCACAGGTCTCCCACCGTGTGCGAGGTCTTCTTCAAGCTTTGACCTTAATTCTCAGCTGCCTCTTCGTTAAAATCAGAAGGAGGCCTGAGGGTACGGAAGGAGAGATCACGGGGAGAGGCACCAACGGGGTGAGTATCCCGAAGGGGAACCCCGCAGAGCAGTGCCACCAGCGCCAGGGCTCAGCTGTCACCCACTGAAGGGCGGCTGTGGGTATGAGGGTGCCGTGGAGGGGACCCCACTGGTGCAGGTCTGAGGGGCACTACAGGGAGCGCCGAGCAGGACCAGGGATAAAGCTGCCAGAGACAGGGGGCTTGGGAGCTCATGGAAGCTGCAGGATTTGTGTTCTGTGCCCTTGAGCAGCACAGCCCCTCACTAACACCCCGGGGTGGGAAACTACAGCACCAAATCCAGCCTGTGTCCCCAGGCCTGTGCAAAGACCCTGCCCAGCTCGTCTCCACGTCTGCCCGGGGCGTGCAAGGAGTTCCCACAGCTCCTGGCTCGCTCTCAGGGAAAGCCATGTGTCCCAAAGGAGGGCAGCAGCTTCTAAAGCCCAAATGGAGCCTGGAAGCGACCTGCCAAAGCTGCTGGGTGGGAGGATTTCCTGCGGTCCCTCGGCTCGGCACCTGGGTGCACACACCGGGCTGTCCTGGTCCTGCCTCCGTGCAGCTCCGGGCACCCCCTGGGTGCAGAGGGGCAGCCCAGCTCCTCTGCAGAAGGAGACTCTGCCCCGGCTGCTGCTCCCCTGCAGCACAGCACGGTCCCGAGAGGGCTGGAGGCTCCTCAGAGCCCACGGTGTCCCCTGCCAGCGCCATCCTGCTCCGGTGCGCTCTCCCGATGTGACAGCCGGGGCACCCTGCGGGCTCACGGCCGGGACAGGGATGCACAGCCGGGGCACACGGGCTCGGGGCGTGCGGCGCTGGGCACCGTCCCTGCCGGGCCCTCCCGGTGC